TTCTCGATTACATTTATCTTATGTTCCATTATCATACCATCAGAAAAATACTATTCGTATAATTACAAACAGTAAACCATTAGTAACACAGAGTAGTCCAATGGCTGAGCGCTCATATTTTCTAATCCACTGATAATGCATAAGAGGATATCATTGACTCTTTATAGGAGCTATGGATTCCACTATCTATGAATAATGAATCTACGCATACACGAGTCATACCCCCAATGTACCGGCAAGCGTACCTTTACATAATGTCAGGATGTCTCCCTTTACTACATCAAAGGATACAAGTTCAGTATACAGGTTCATCATCCATCTCAGGATTAAGATGACAACATATAATTTGTCAAAAGTGAATTGTTTTATTCAAACAGAATTATTAATTAAAACAATTCAACTTTGGTCCGATCCAATATAGATTTCACCATTAGAAACTATATCAATGTCTCCACCCATGGAGTCCCACCTCCGACAACCAAAACAAGCCGTCTCCGTTAGGAAGTAGACAACATAACAATCTTAACATGAATAAAGCGCCCAACTTTATTCCCTCGATTGTGGATCATAAGATTTAGACTATCATCTTTAGATTCTTGTCTTCCGCATGTTCTTCACATTACATGCATGACCTAAAGATTTAGAATGACAATCGCAGACTTTCAGTTTGCTTATCATACATTCAACTATTATGAACATAAAGAGGACAATTCATAGATATATAAAATAAATAAATCTTTATTAATAGTCAAAATATCTCAAAGAATATTGTTACATTTATTCCTAAGGGCATAAACGCTAACAATTGTCCGCTTTGGGCCTGAGCCCGTACGGTTTTTACTTTTAAGCTTCACCCCAAAAGGTCTCATACTATTAGGAGGTGGTGTCATTCGTTATAAAAATAGCAGGAACAGAATGCGCTACTGTAAGTTTGAACTCCGGAGGCAATATTGGCAAGGATACTCGTCATGTTTCCTTTGATTTCAATATTAACTCCCCAAAGAAAATTTCTTCTTCATTGGTTCAAGCACGTAAGATTCGGACAGTTCTTTTGCTTCATCAATGGTATAACAAATGGGGAAAGTCAACTTCTGATGCACTAAGATCAAATGTCAAGTTCACACGCACTTTGGATTTGAATGGTTCGGGGATTACAATACTATCAAAGTCTATAGGCAGTTTCAAGCATTTGAGATATCTAGATCTTTCAGATAACGAGGATATCCAGATGCTACTCAATTCGATTACCAATCTACTGAATCTGCAGACACTACGACTAAATGGTTGCTCTCGCCTACGAGAATTGCCCAGAGACTTGAAGAAGCTAGTCAATCTCAGACATCTTGAAATTGATGGGTGCTTTGGATTGACTCATATGCCACGCGGATTGAGTCAGCTGATCAATCTTCAGACACTATCAAGGTACATACTAAGCAAGAGCAATGATGTTGTCACGATAAATGGAGGTGAGCTAAAAGATTTAATGGGCTTGAACAACTTGAAAGGGGAATTGGAAATTCGGAATCTGGAACACGGGAATGATGCGGCAACAGACTATGAGTCTGCAAATTTAAAGGAAAAACAATATCTTCAATCCTTGGAATTGGAATGGATTTCTGATGATGAAGGAACAGAGGCTCCTGTTGGTTATGAGAAGTCACTAGAAGCCCTCCAGCCACATCCAAATCTCCAAGAATTGGTTCTATGGAGTTACGGGGGTGTCAAGATTTCAAGTTGGCTTTCTTCACTTACAAATCTGGTGAATTTGACATTAGTGTCGTGTGAGAAATGCCAGCATTTAGTGCCGTTGAATCAATTACACCGTCTTAAGAAATTAGAACTTAATAGCTTGCCGTGTCTGGAGTACATAAATGGTGAGGAGGAAGACTTGTTGCTTTCATCAACAATAATACTGCCATCCCTACGAGAACTTTGGTTGAGTAATTTGTCAAATCTAAAGGGATGGTGGAGAGAGGTAGTAAGTGGGGAATTGTTGCCTTGTTTTCCTCCTTGTCTTTCTAAATTAATAGTAAGGGATTGTCTTCAGCTGAGTTGCATGCCGCTTTACCCACATTTAGAAAAAAGACTAGAGCTAAGAAATACAAGGTTGAAGCCATTGGAACAGACAGTATTAGTATTAGAGAGTAGAAAATACAGTACTAGTACTACTGGAACTGAAATCCCAACGACAACGTCATCTTCTTTCTCTCCTCTCTCTAAATTGACATCTTTGAGAATTTGGGGAATTGGGGAGGATCTACAATGTCTTCCGGAGTGGTTCAAGAGCCTTACTTGTCTCAAAGAGCTGGAGATTGTGTATTGCTCGAAATTAAAGGATCTGAGCCCGGGTATTCATCATCTCACCTCACTTGAAAGCTTGGTAATTGAAAATTGTGAGGAGTTAGAAGAGATGATGGTGGTGAATAACGGAAGACTCCGCTCTCTGGAGCTTTCTGGCTCTCATAAATTGGCGTCTCTTCCTGAGGGTCTTCAACACCTTACCAGTCTCCACCGCCTTGCGATTTCTGATTGGAAGAGTCTGGAAACTATTCCGGAGTGGATTGGCAACCTAAATTCACTTGAAACACATCTATTAGTGAAATGCCCCAAATTGAGAGCATTACCTGAAGGAATACGAAGCCTCACTTGTTTAAAAACACTCTTGATTCGGGATTGTCCCATGTTATGGAAGAGATGCGAAAGGCAAATAGGCGAGGATTGGCCCAAGATTGCTCATATCCCAGAACTGGACTTGAGCCGAGATCCCAACAGAAGCGATGATGTTGAGGTAGAAAGCCCAAACTCAACTTTTACAAGCTTAGCTACCAATATAAGTGTCGATCTCTATATTTTTATAAAGATATTTTCATCATTTTCTAAAGTGATTCCATTCGAACTTAACTTGATATTTTTATAGAATCCATCAAGGGATGAGCATACGACAAGTTTAGACAAGATAAAAGCATGCAGCAGCAGCATCTTATTCAAAAATTTTGGGCTATGCATGCAATAATATATACTACTACTGGAACGGCTCAAGAATGAATAAATAGATAGGTAAATACACATGATTATCCCTTTTAATTTTCCTCTTTAAGATTTTTGTGATTTCTTCACCTTTAAGATTTTTGTTATTTCACCGTTCACATTTCCCCTCATATTCCATGGTTTGTGTTCCATAACTTTAAAGCCATAAAAAGAAAACCATGTAACTTCTTCTCTGTACAGGTCGTGAGTCAGACTTTTTTCTGATATCTGGAAACCTCACTTTTGTAGATTCTACCCTTTGCCTTGCCATTTCCTAGTGTATTTGTTAAAGCAAGATGATTCTTCTCATAGTTATCCTCTGCTTCTTAAGGTATATTATATATTTCCTTTTCCCTCGTAATATTCCACGATTTATTAATCATTTTACTGATAATTTAATGTAAAAATTTTAAGATTGTAGTGAAGGTAAATTTTGTGCTTCCCACTTCTCCGTTCCATAAATAGTATGAAATTTTGCTAATGATTTGCTACTTCTTCTCTGTTCAGACTGTGAGTGGGACTCTTTTTCTGATATATGTGAATGGACAAAAGCAAGATGATTCTTTTTCAGTGCTTCTTATTGACAAGTGATCCATAATTCCAATAAAAAATGGGATTTTTAATTTGGCTTTGTACTTTTGGACAAGTTAGAGGAGAAAACATAAAACTTAGAGTTAGCCTGTTCAAAAAATAGGCAATATAATATTATTTCTGGTTTCATCATTAATGTCATTAAGGGTTGCATTTGGGTTCAATTCCATTATCACAACTTCTTTTATCATTTTTTTTCTAGTTCTGCAAAATTTCAGTTTCAATTTTAATATAATTTCACAAGACCAAGAGTGAAAGAACACGTTCAACACCTTACCAGTTGGAAGATCAATGACTGCGAGGAGTTAAGAGATGACGACTTAAAAGAGATGATGACGGTGAATAGTGGAAGACTACTCCGCTCTCCGTGGCTTAGTGGTTTTACCTAAATTGGAGTCACTTCCTGCTTGCATTCAACACCTTACCGGTCTCCAACACCTTTGGATTTCTCATTGAGATAGTTTGGAAATAATTCCGAACTGGATTGAAACCTCAATTCATTTGAATCGCTTCAATTGGTGGATTGCCTTAAATTGACAGCATTACCTGAAGGAATACGAAGCCTCACTTGTTTGAAGAGATGCTGGGGGCAAATACGCCAGGGTTGGCCTAAGATTGCTCATATCCAAAACCTGAGCTAGAGCTAAGATCCCAATGAGAACGACAATGATCAGGTAGAAAACTCAAACTTAATCTTTACAACCTCGCAATTTTATTGTTGATGTCCATTATCCTTATTTTGAGGCATTGATTCTTTTCCTTTTCTAAAGATATTCTAACTCAACTTGATATTGCAGGATTCATTAGATCAGGAGAAAACAAGATAAAAGCATGCAAATTATTCAAAAGTCTTGGACCATGCAACAGTACCCGTACAAGTAACGTATGAAGAGGTAAATATACTGCTTTTCTGGCTCTTTTTCCTTATAAATATTTTCATTATTCATGTTATTTATACACATGTTACATGCTAATAATCTGTAACTGTTGTTCAATTGTAAAATTATTTTGGTCTCAATTAACTTCATACCTCCTCTATGGCAAAAATGGTCATCGTTAAGAAAATGGCTAAGATGTAAGAACTAGCCTGGTGCTTCAGTTAAACGGTTATAATATTAATCCATGTTAATTATTGTTAATTATTCTTTTACCTTAATAATCAACATTTTGACGTATTCACAACAAGAGAACAAGTGAGAAATTTTTCTCAAGCAAGTTGATTGTTTTGTCGTTATCCCCTGCTTATCCCCTGCTTTATCTGGTACATATATCTAATTTTCTGCTTTCGACAATTAGGCGATTTTCAACTGAATGAAATTTCTTATTTGGTTTTGTATATTTGGACATGTCGGAGAAGAAAGCAAACTTGAGCTAAGCGAATTGTGGCTTGTTCAAAACTTTTGGTCCTTCTTGCTTTAACACAAGACAATATGATATTGTTTCATTGGTAGCAGAATAATGTCAATGAAAGTAGCATTTGGGTCCAATTATCTGTGGAGAAGATCAAGAATTCATTGACTTTTTCCAAGTAATACACAAGTCAATTGTCATCCCTTTAATTTGGTGTTCTTTCTTGGTAGACACTAACAATTGATGATGGTCTATTATTGATAATGAAATGCCAATTCTGTTTGTTTCTTCATCATCTTTTTTCTAGGAGCTTAAAATTTTGAGGAATCTCATTGTGTTTTTTCAGATTTGGATTGGAGAAGTGAACTGCTCTCTGGTTTCTCCTCAAAATGTAATGAAATGGTAAAATCCTTCATCTGTTTTTCTATATGCTAATCCTTTTCAATCCTTAATTAGAATAGTTTTCTTCATTCTTCAATCCACGTTTTCCTGATTAAACATTTATTTCTCTTGACTTCAGATATGAACAGAACACCAGAAAAAATATGTTGGGATTGATTCAAGATCATGAGTTTCCATGCATGGATTATGCAAATGATTCATAGTGGTCTAGTTTTCAAGATACGCAAGTCAATTATGCAAGTTTAATGCATTGGTTAGAAAATGCCGTTTATATTCACCAATTTATTGCCATCTAATTCATTTTGGAAGAGTTCTTTAGTTTGATATTTTTTTTCTTTTTCAGTTTTGTGTCGGAGAAGCGAACTACGGAACGGAACACGGTACTCAAACCGTTTACTCTTCTTTTTTGCCTAAAAAAGTTTCCAAAAGTGATCTTATTATTTTTTAAGTGGTTAAGTTTCATACTTATGTAGCATGGTTAAAACAAAATGGAAACAAGGAATGCGGATTCTGCTTGATGATATTTGTCAGGGCATCGAAGACATATATGTAGGATCCAATTCCTACAAATGTAAGTATCAGTTTTTTATATTTCTACATTGGTTTTCATTTGTTCACAATCATAAACTTTTATTCCTTTTTTCTGTAGTATGGTTGAAGTACCGATTACAAGATCAAGATTTACACGAAGAGCACAGCGAGTTGGCCTAATTTGTGCAAGCACAAATTTGATCCCGTGTCAGAGTTGGTAAATTAATCACTGTATTCCTAATTTTGTTGTACTTAAAAAATATTTATTGTTTCCTAGATCTACTAATGTTTCAACATGGTTTTGGTAAGAATGTAAAGGAACTACGAGTGGCTTGATCCCTTCGTTGGGTACGTAGGCAGCCTAGTTCAGGTCCAGCCACAAATAAATAAAACAATTTTTTTCTCCTTCCAGTATTGGAATTATATTAATAGCAATCTTTATGAATGACCTTAAGAAAGATTTCATGTGTAATACGTGCAGCATTATGTGATTATCATGCACTGCGACTCTTGTTTACTTCTGACTAACTCTTTGATGCAATGATTAGTACCAACAATTATAGTATTTAGGGATGCTGTGTCAGTCGTGCCATTGTAATTATTTAGGGATGTCACAATTAGAGTGTTTAGTTCCAATGTTTCATAGTTTCACAAGATCAACGCCGAAAGGAGATGGATTTTACCAAGATTATAGAAGAGCTTCACAGTTTTTCTTCAACTGCAATTTGGAAAAAGGAAAGTGTTTAAGCTAATAGAGTGTGTTTAGAAAGTGGTCACCATTCTGCTTCTGTTAAATATTCAGCAAATTAAGTTTTTGAAGCACTTTGCTTAGTCTAATGAAAAAAAAAAAATGAAAGTGGTCACCATTCTGCTTCTCTTAAATATTCAGCAAATTAAGTTTTTGAAGCACTATGCTTAGTCTAATGCAAAAAAAAAAAAAAAAAAAAAAAAAAAAAAAAATACTTTAAAAAAAAAAGGAAAATCTCTCAAAAAGAGACAATTTTATTCATATTGACTATGGGAAGAAACAACTCCTCTTTGTATATAGAAGTTACTGAAATAAAACAAATAGTTGCAAAGCAGAAAGTCAGAAAGTTCCTTGGGAGTGAATGTGATTCGGTTCTAGCATCAATGAGAAATTCAAGAACTTGTGGCTTTCTTCTTCGGCCAAATGTTGGAACTTAATATGAAAGTACCTTAACCTTGGTATAATATAAGTCTAAAACCTTGTACCTAATCTTCTGGGGAAGACAACTTTTTCACCTATTCCAAATTGATACTTATTCTTTTGTGGATAACTCAGGATCCAACATGATGTTTTGGTAAGCTCATCGACTGTTCATTCAGATTCCATCGCGACCATGCAGGTCTAAAATTTGAGGAACTTGGCATCGGATCATCATTTCCTCCAAAAGAATTCTAGTTTTTAATGCGAAAGTTTAGTTTTGAATGAGTTGAAGCCTCAAAAGTTCCTTGTTGCTTAATACTAATGAATGAGAAGCCGTTTTAAAGTGGTGAAGTTTTAATGATCATTCTAATTTTAAAAACTCTCAAGCGAAAACGCGATCGGAGAAAAGGACTCTTGAAGGGAAAAAGAGTTGGAGTACATGTCTACGCGATGAAAAAATGGACATTTTAATTGATATTTTCACAGAAATTTTCATATTTTGGATCAGACTATATTAAACACTATATCATATCATACTTGTCAACGTGTTTCATTTGTTCTCATTCTAGAAAATGAGATACCAAGGCCCTGTTTGGAGTTTGTTTTGTTTTTGTTTTTCACGTTTTTCAAAAAAAAAAAATGAAAACGGGAAAGAAACGGCGTTTGACACAATTAAAGACAAAAAACGAAAATGAAAATAATTTTTTGATTTAGTGTAAAATGAGAGAGAAATGAAAAACGACTTTTAGTCGTTTTTTATTTTTTGTTTCCGTTTTCTCCTCTCTCGAGCACAGAGAGAGACGTTAATGGAATTTTTTATACTGAAAATAATATCTTGATAAAACTACTAAACGCATTTTCAAAAATGATTTCTTTATGAGATTGAAAACATTTTAAAACTACAATTTGTCCAGTCTAATTATTGAAGCCAGAAAGTTTTAGGGAGCAAATAAAAAAGGAAAGCAAGCGTTTGAATACTACTGTTTTTAAGTAATTTGTTTATGTTCTAGCGTAAAAGGAACAAATGAAAATGAGTAATCAAAATTTATGCAAGCTCCGATTCAGAACACTCCCATTTGTGCATGTCTCCAAGGCCAATCTGTTTGTACCTCTTTCATCTAAATAAAGTACGGCGTGGCGCCTCCTTCTGCCTTCCACTCTGAAGGAATAATTATAAATTATATCAAAAAATTGAATCAGATCGAAGTTAAGTCACACCTACTAGTAGTCTATATGAAAAAAATATCTTGTCAAAACAAGGGTTTTAAGATTCCTAATTAAAAAAAAAAATCAAGAGATCTCACCAATTTTATTTTTACGTCACATTATTAATTGCTTTATAAAGTAAGCCAAAAGTGGGAGACTATCAAAAACACTATTAGAATCTCTTTTTTTTTTTTTTTTAAATTTTTAAAATAGTATTTAATTAATCACATTAAAAATGTCATTAAATGTCCTCTTAAAAAGATGAATAAAATAGTTAAAAAGATAAAGTTCAATTTCTTTTCTCAACCCATGACCAATATGAGTTCAAAGTTTTCTTTCTAACTCCCGAAATTTTCTTCGTAGTGACTATGTTACATACCTCATTTCATAGGAATCCTCAAAATGGCTATATTTCACTATATTCCGACCATACCCAGATTCCATTCATTCACTTTAAAAATTTTTAATTAACCTATAATAGTATGAGGTGTAAACTTCTCGTTTATTTCACTAATTCGAGTTTTCAGTTTTATATTTTTACAGTTAAAAACTCTCAGAAAATATTACATCTAACTTTTTTACTATAGTTAAAATCTCTCAAAAAATGTCACATCTAAACTCGAATTGAAAACTAGAATTCGCGGAGCGAATGAGACCATAGACTGCTCAACGTGATCCATAAGCCTAAATGATGAAATTGGACTTGCTGCCTGGGAAGGTCAATCCAGTCTAATCTCAAAACTGAATCTCAAAACTAAAGAGATTGAGATAAGGCCAGACTGATCGAAAATTGCACAAAGGACTTACACAAAAAAAAAAAAAAAAAAAAAAAAAAAGTACTATACAACATTTTTATAAAACTAAATTAAGTAAATAATATTTTTAAAACACTAAATTAAATTAAATAAATAACATTTTTTATGACACTAAATTAAATATATAATATGTTTTAAAACATTTAAAGTACATAGTAGTAAAAGAGATATTTTACCCCGTAAATTTGTTGGATAGCTAAATTTTGTAGAAGCAAACTAAAAACAAGAGAAAGTCCTACTAAAAATAAAATCGAGTGGGCGTAAATCTTCTTTAAATTTCCAAATACGACACACAACTTCTCTTATTTACACTTAGCATTGACAAAAATAAAATCATTATTTGTCCCTTTTTTTTCATTTTTTTTCCTTCTTTTTCTTAAACGGGACCATAGTTAATTTTTCAAACTATATATGTGGATGCTTTTTGTTTTTTTATTGATAACATCAATTATTGTTTTTTATGGCTGCGAATGCGATAGCCAGTCTTTGCTAACACAGCTTTTTGGCTTCGCTAGGTTCCACATCCACGTCGTCTTATCCTTTATCCACATAATAATAATATAACAATCATTTTATATCATCATGTATCATATTATGTATATGATATGCCTAATGCATGCACATGCATGTATCTGTATTATGTATCATCAACCATGGTCTCCATGGATGGCTAACACAGCTTTTTGGCTTCGCTAGGTTCCACATGCATTTTTTGCTAGTATCGTCATGTGGTTTTGGTAATTAAGGAAGGGAATTTCTTATAGCAAGAGGCATACATATTGGATCTCTGTTTCTTAAACCGGAAAAATAAATTATTCTCAATATCATGTGATAAAATTAGATTGATTTCTTCAATGTGATATGGTTCGATTGATAAAAATAAATTATTTATCATGTTTTAAAAAATCAATTATTGTCTCTAGATTGCCAAGTCTAGCCACAAACAAAATAACATAACATTTTTTTTCTTCAAGTCTTAGAAGGTTAGTAACAGTCCTTGTATGAAAGATCTCAAAAAAGATGTTATGCTTAATATACTGCGAGGATTAATAAACCAAGATGTAATCCACTGTAATTATTTAGGAATATCACAATTATAGGTTTTAGTTCCAGTGTTCCATAATTTCACGATCGAGATCAACGCCGAAATAATATTCCTTTTACTAAAATTATAGGAGAGATTGAACTATTTTTCTTCACCTGCAATTCGAAAAAAAAAAAAGATAAATATCCTTTAAAATGCTTGGGTCTGAATTTTAACTCACTCTTCATTAATAATCTTTTTAGTTCAATAACTATATTATAACAAAAAAGATATTAATCAAGAATAAAAAGAAAAATTTCATACCTGTGCATCTAACATATATGTATCAAAACACTAAACACACTAAATATACACGCGGGAAGCATGTGGCTTTGACTAGTGTTGGGAAGAGTTTGAGTTCCAATGAAGTAAAATAATAGTAACAAGTACACTTGATGTGAAAGTAAGCTTATTTTTAGAAAGTAAGTTTGAGTTCCAATCCGCGGGTATCTGTCCCTAATAATGTGGGTATGGAGGTCATTATATTAAAGTGAGGGAGGATATGTGGGCAAAACTTAGCCCTCGATATGAGTTATTATTAGATTTAAATTTGGCATTAAGATTTCAATTTATTTTATGACATATAAATAATTAAGTCGTTTAATTTTTTAGTTAACTTAATAGAATTTTCATTAATATTTGATAATGTTGCAACACATTTTTTTAAACTCTTAACGGATAAATTAATAAGGTACGTGAATAATTCTACAAGTGGAGATTTCCTGACCCTAACTCCACCTTAA